TCACCCTAAAACCCAGAACAAGCCATGATTGTCAGAGCAACTTAGGAGCTTGAAAAATATTTAGTAATGAAGAATTCCTATTCTAGTTAAAAAAAATTCAGATTTTTCAAGGAAAATTAAAAGAGAATTACAAGAGCCCATTACACTGGTTTTTGTTTTGGTTTGTTGTTTTTCTTCTTTCATCCTGCATAACACTCCCAAAGTCTTACCTGTTGCTTCCTATGTCGTGGGTATGAACAGAGAGATGAATTAAAATTTTGGACTGAATCTTGTAATGGAGTAGAAAAATACAGCTTAAAACCCCCTTTCTCTTCTTCCCCAGAGTAAATTCCACAAATGTCCTATTGGAAAAATATAATCCTCAATTGAACTGTTAGCATTTTTTAGTTATTTAACAAGGCCTTGGTAATTTAATTAGTATTAAACTACAGCTCATTTTTTTCTAGATGTGATTTAAGAAACATTTTAACAGTAACAGAAAGCCAAATCTATAGACAGCAAATAGGGAAATTTATTAACTAACTCTACAGCACAGTCCTCTCTGATTCAGTTTGTAATGTAACTGTGATTTGCATGGAATGTCCATAATTGCTATAATTAAAAGGCTGGTAGTCACCAGAGGAAAAATAGGAGTCTTCAATCCATTAATTGACACCAGCACACCTCCTTAAAAAAAAGCTATCTTGTTCAGTGCTGTATTTTGGATTGTCACTGATGGAGAGCTGAACCATGTATTTTCCCTGGCTGGCTCCAGAGATTGCTGGGATTTAGAAACACAGTCTAAAACCAACAATAAACCCCTCTCTTCCTCTTCCCAATCCTGTCAAACCTCCACGACAGTGACAGAGAACAGGTGCTGCTGCTGCTCTGGGGCAGGACAGGGTGATGAAGCTCTCATGGCTGCCCTCCTGTCTTGCTGGGTTTCTTTCAGCCTTGGTCTTGCTCCTGTTGTTTTAGTGTCAGTTAATTTTTCCCATGGAATAGCTGTAACTGCTCCTGTGTGAACAAAACCCAAACCTGTCGCATGCAGGCAGACAGCCCTGGGCTCTGCCTCAGGGCATCTCTCCAGAGTGAAGCCCTAAGCAGCCCCTGCAGCACAGCTCTGTGATCAGCGGCCAGGGGACAAAAAGACCACAGCAGTCCAAAAACAGTGAAGGAGAAAAAATCCCATGTCTTTTCTCTGCCATAAGTCAATGTTTTTCCAGCTACTATCAGCAATAATTTGTGTAGGTTGGTTATTTTAGCACTCTCCTGTGGCTTGCAGCACTTGTTTTACTTACCTGGTGGCACAGAGCCCCGGGGTGAGGCAGGTGGTGTCCCAGGGGGCTGGCAGCTCACCAGGCTGCCGGGCTGGGAGAGCCCTCCTGGTGCCAGCAAAACCAGGCAGCACACTCATTCCCTACAAATTAATATTCTCAACAACCCCTCCACAATCAATCTTTGCTAAAAGCATTAATTAAGCTGTTAACATTTTTGATCCCATCAATTTTCTGTTCTTTTCTTATTAAATAGATGTACTAGGGGAGTTTGAATAATAATAAATAAATGAACTTTGCCAGCCTCTGGCTAAGCATGAAATTTACTGTGTAGTAACAAATGCAACAGAGGCAGCTCATACATTAACCAACCTAGTTTTGACACATGAGTTTGGGAGCACATTATTTACTTACTTACTAATTCTAAGTAGGATGAGGCTCCAAAATGTTTTATGCAGGAAATGACAAATGACATGTTCAGCCAGTCTGCTGCATTCTCCATCACAGCATGAAGCTGCTTGCTTGCCTGTCTCCCCTTTGGTGGGTCTCTGGCCCATTGGCCACACACAGTGATGTTTTCAGGCCTGCACACTTTATTCTCCTTGGGAGTTTTGCCAGAAAAGTAGCTTACCAGGAACTAGGTAATTTTGCTTTTTACTTACTAGGTCTTGGCACTTTGAAGGTCACCTGCGTGCTATAAACTCCTTGTGTTCCATGTATTTTTACATACGCACGGCTCTAGCATCAGCTCTGTTACACTGTTGTAAATCTAATCATTTTTGTAGAAATCCATTAACTCACAGTGAATTTATAGCAGTATAACTGTGAGCAAACTATGGCTGATTGCACAGACTGGAAATATTACAAGGAAAAGTGCAAAGTTCTATTGATTTTCTCTCAGGAAAAATGTGTGTTTCCTTATGATTATATTATAGATGACTTGGCTCTGGCCCCTATGAGCCGTCACTCATGCTTCCCAGCTCACTGCTTGCTGGCTTTGCAAGGCAGAGCTGCTCACTGCACTGTTCCCTGTGTGTCCAGGGATGCATCCACCCCACCACGGGCACTGGACAACGTTCTGCCCAGCTCCACATGGCACTGCAGGAGACATGCCACCTTTCCACAGCTCTGCAGTCCAAGCACTTATTCCTAATTGATTCTGACAGCAGACACCACGAGGAATGCTGAGATTTATGAAAGAGCAAGATTTGCCACTAGCCTCTGTCCATTAAGGGTACAGCAAACCTCCCAATGCCCTTTGTAAATACAATCAGCAGAAGTGAGGCAGTTGCCCTTTTCAGAAGAAAGAACACTCTCAAACGACAGTTTTAGCAGAAGTCCTTAACACGCTCACAAGCAATAAAGTTCCAAATTCTTTACATTTTTCCATCAGAATGTTTCTCATTCCTTTAAGTGCTTTATAAACCTAAATGCTGTACCAAAAGCTGCAGCTTCCTCTTTAGCCAGCTATCTCCCATGCACTAAGCAAATACTGGGCCAAACATAGGCTGTGTGTTTTGCAAAAAAGCTGACCCAAATATGGAAACTGAGCCCCCAAAGCCTGTGAGGGTCATTCCCTTTTTTTTTTTTTTTTTAAGGAAGAAATACAGCAAAGATAAAGGTAGAGCCAGGTTATCTTGGCAATCTGCTCCCTTGTTGAAATTATCCTGTGTGATGGGAATGACTTACCTCTGCATGTGTGCAGGTCTTCACTGGAAAGAAGAGATGCCTATTGCTCTTCTTTAAGAGATTTTTCATCAAATCCTGAGGTTATTGTTTAGTAGTTCTGAGGTTTTATGGTGAAATGGAATATAAGAATTGTTATTCCTACTGCAGCACACTTAATTCTGCTCTCAGAAAGGATAAAAAGAAGTTATTTTCAGTTGCAGATGTCATATCTTTTCACCTTTAATGTGATTGAAGTCTGAAAGACCTACTCCTGCCACTGCACACAAAACTTCCAGTTGCTGCCACATCTCTGTGCAGGTAACAGACTACAAAACAAGGGGGAAGACAAACACAAGATGATGTATTTCCTCCCATGTTTTCTGCAAACCACAAAGTATGCAATTCAAGACACAATGTTACCTTATAAGTGATGAAACTAAAGTATCAGAACAAAACATGATCTGTTTACTAAAAGACCAGCTGAGGTATGGCTGAAGTTGAAATAAAGTGTAGCTACTCCTAGACAGACATGCTCTGCTGCTTCAAGCAGCAGCTGTTTATTTAGATAAACTTAGGCTGATTTTCCTCCTCCTCTTGTAGAAAAATTAGTTTTGGTTGTGTCCTTTAAAATGAAGGCAAGTCACTGAGAAATATTCAGTGTCGCAGAGGAAATGCAGCTTTGAAGACCCACAGTTCAAACCCAGGCAGGTTTCACTTTCATGACCAGCCACTACCCAAAGGAGTAGTGCTCATGACATTATAGACTCCACACATAGCTCTGTGTTGAGTAATCGTCCTTGAACAAATTCTCAGACGTGAATCCTGGTATTAATTTAGGCACAATCCAATATTCAATTTTTTTTTTCCTACCTGTCTTTTCCTTTCAGCTTATAAGACTCTCCCTCCTGTGTGCATATGGAAGCCAAGGACTGTGCTCTTCAGTGTCTCACACTCTGATGCACTTCCAGGCTTGCAACATCCACCTTCCCTCCCCCATAGTTCTTTCCAACAGCAGTTCTCCTTTTTGTGGGATAATTACAGATTATTCTCCAATCCATGAGATACCACAGCTAGCATTAAGGGGATGAACATTCTTACCAAGATTTTATTACTTTTGGGTCCCCCCGGTGAGTTTGCCCCAAGAGAGGCAGGAGGCTTTTATTACCACAATGTAGTAGCAGGTATGAAACACAGATGTGTTTCGGTCTCACAGCTAGTTGAGATGTGAGTGGCACAAATCCCTCACTATTACTGACAGTCCTAGAAAAAGCAAATTCTGACCATCTCATAAATTGAAAATCCCTTCCTACCCTCCTTCTAGAAGGAGATTCGGGTACGAGGTGAGGCAATGGAATACTCTGCTTTTGCTCCACAGTTTCTGCCACTGATATCCTGCTGATGCTGTAGCTGTCACCTTACCATTTCTTTCTAAAATGCTTTGCAAATCAAAGATAAAAATCACAGTCAGACATAGGAAATTTCAAAGTACTTTAAATTCAGCTAAAGACGTTTGTGTTTCTTTACCAAGTCATCCTCTTGTCTCACTTAGAACCCAAGCATTTTATAACAGAAAATACTTCCTGTATTTACTATAAAAAAGCCTTTTGCTTCATTAGAAGAAAGCTCAGTTGGCAAGACGAGTTATACAACTATGTAATTTTAAAAAACATTGGAATGGGTCTAGGGAATACAACATTCCAGGTTGATTTTTTTTTCATTTTCCACTAGTTGATTAATCTTTTTTCAGAGAGGCCTGTAGAAAACTAAAGCAGCTTACCTTGAATGCTCTGCACTGCCACACAGTCCATCTGACAGATCTTGCATTACCTGCCCAGAGATAACTGGTGTCACCACAGGAAATGCAGATGTAGCTTGTGACTACCTGGCTGTGCATTCCTCTGGGGGGCTTGCAAATGCACAGGTTGGCAGAAACATGGAGTATTAAATAGCTGATTCCAACATTCTTTTGTTTGTGATGCACCTTTCCTCAACTGTCCATGCTGTGACAAGGCAGGGAACAGCCACAGCCACAAAGCCTTCCTGGGGAGCTTCAGGACACAGGGAAAGGCACAATCATCTGTAAAAACTTTATTTCAAAATCTTTTTATTCAACTGTTATTCAGCAATATACAATACAACTTATAAACAAATGTCTTACCTTGTTTCCAGTCTTCATTTAAAAATAAATATTATTGACAGTGAATAGTAATTATGGTAAGATGTACCTTTTTATTTAAAATGTCTCCAAAAGAAATAATTTAATTAAAAAAGAAAAAAGGAAATCCAAAAAACCTAAACACAATAATCTACTAAAAATATTTCCTTTCTTAGGAAGGGCTTTGACCCAACATCTTTACATATTGTCATAAAGATAACTGCTCAACAGTTCGTGCAAAATGAAGAGTCAGAGGAAAGGTTTAGAAAAGAAAAAATATTACATTAAAATAGAGAAACCGTAAGTGCCATGCACAGAGCAGGGCTTTACACCATAGTCTGGAAACTAGATGGATTATTCTATGTGGTTTACTTTCTGTGGCATCCAAAAAAAATATGGTTTTCCCCCCATGTAGAATTTACCATGCTTCTTTCAGTCTCTTTCCATCTTTAGTACTGTACTTCTTCTTTTGTCAGGGGTTCGTTCTGGTTTTGAATAGGTTCCTTTTTTGTTTGGCTGAGGAGCAGTGGAGGAAGCAGTCTAGTCTGTCAGTGGTTTACTAATAAATGTACAAGCTTATGCAGTATTAACAGGGACATATACAGGAGTGGGTCTGTAGCATAAACAGGTCCTGTACCTAGAAGAGACAAGGCAGAGAAGGGGATTTTACTCTTTATCTTTTCCAATATAGAAAATGAAATGCAGAAGAGAAATACAGGAAGATGTAATTTTGATCACTTCAGAGCCGGGGGTCAGAAGCTTTATTTTAATAGTAAAACAGCATCCTCAAGCTATCCAGCTCATCCAATAGCTTTTCTTCTCCCTCCCAAATCTAACTCCACTTAGGTCATTTCATTATGCATTACTAATGGTCTGCCTAAACTTGGCTTCAGCCAACTTACCAGCAATTGAGATTTCTATAAATACACCTTAATCTAGTATATAGTTTCTTGAGAAAAGACAGGTATCAACCACCCATTACTTAAAGGGAAATGACAAACGCTGGTGCTGTACTCCTTGATTAACAGGACATGAACCCATTTCATTTGGAATGGGAACAGCAAGACCTTGACATCCTCTTTACCTTTTATAGAAAAGAGCAGAATTTTAAATTAAAAATGTGCACAGGAGCTATAGAAAAGCAGAGCCTGGATGTGGAACCCATTTGTTACAGTAATTTCATCCAAACCCAGGGAGGTCAAGACCTTCCTGCTCCTACACAGAGCTGCAGGGGTTGTTACCTACAGGCCATCGCGGGGCAGCTGGTGTCTGTGACCTTATGGCTGAGGGAGGAAGGGACAGCTCTCCCTGGGCAGGGACAGATTCTGCTGCCTTTGCTTACAGTGAGCAGTGGCATGTCCATGCTGCAGCTAACAAGACTATGCCTGCCTTGTATCTGCTGATACTTAAGATACTTGTTCAGTTTTTTGATTACTGCCTGTTACTCCCCACGCCCCTTCTGAGCCCACACTGACAAGGCTGGACAGGTCAGCAGCAGCAGCTTTTAGGGTCCCAAGTACCAATGGGTGACACCTTTCCAAAGCCATGATATGGACTCACATGTACAGTTGTCACCAACACTGTAACATGACAATACAGGACTGCACACTCATGACTGATGTCTCACATGGTGATGGGACATTTCCACAGGGGTGAATGCAAAAGCAGGAGCCCAGCTGGAGCCCAGCTGGGGCTGCCCTGCAGCCCAGGCACACAGAGGCACCCAGGGAGAGGCTTCATCAGTGCTGAACATCCTAGATACAGAAGTAATCTATGCCTAAAACACTGAGAGCCACCCAGAAAAGTGACTGGCAAAGCCACTGAAAAGCCAGAGAAAAGCTTTAAAAGAAAGGTTTTCATGTTCAGTGTCTCTGAAAAAGCAATCAGGCCACTTCTATTTAGGCAACTCACTTCAGGCACCCTAATGCAAATACTTTACTCTTGGTCTCAAGGACCTGGGAGTCTTTCAGCTGTGGCATGATCAAAGGCAAAACCTCAAACAGTTCTTGAGTAAACTTGGGCTCACTGTTCAGGCTGCCTCGTCATCTATATATACCTTGCCAGCAAAGGTGGAGTATTAGTTTCCAGTATCAAAAAATAGTTCATAGCAATGTGGTGTGCAATTGAGGAACTGAAGAGATGTACCCATAGTGCTGTATCATAGGTGCCTAGACTATGTGAAGATTGTTCAGTTATTATGGTTTTAATTAAATCCTTGCATGCAAAAACACGTGGCCAAGGACTACCTGGGGAGCAACGGCAAGGCATTAAGATGAATACAGGTGTTTTTTTTTTAAAGCTGAAAATTATTAACAAACACAATTCAGGTAACTAAAGTAGTAACTTGTTAAAACTCTTGCAAAAAGACACCAGAAGTGTGTGCAGAAAAGTGCACAAGAGCTGCTAAGCTCAGGTTCCCTGCCAGCACATGGACAACCAGCCCCAAACATCTTGCTGCTCTGAGGCAGCAATGCACAGGAGCTCACAAGCTCAGACTTGCCTTCCTGCCCCAGGAACCTGCCATACAGGGCCAGGTGCAAGGCAGGTCTGCCCTGGGGACCTGCAGGAAGGGTAAGAGATCCTCTTTCCAGTGCTGAGAGGGTGAGGGCAGCGGGAGCCTTGCCTGTGCTGAGGCCAACCATGCCAGACTTAGAATCACAGAATGGTTAGAGTTGGAAGGGACCTTAAAGATCATCTAGTTCCAACTCCCCTACGTGGGCAGGGACACCTCCCATTAGATCAGGCTGCTCAGGAGCCCCATGCGACCTGGCCTTGAACACTTCCACAACCTCCCTAGGCAACTTGCTCCAGTGCCTCACTACCCTCACACTAAAGAATTTCCTCCTGATCTGTAACCATAAATCCCTCTTCTTTCAGTTTAAAACCATTACCCAGGTATTGATTATAAACAAGCTGTAATTAGTGTCCTCAATTCTGCTTTTATGGCAGTAGTGGAAGTCTTGACTTTTACTTAATAAAATGCTACATTTGTAGATGCAAACAAATGGAATGTGGTCTTGACCACTAAGATCTGAACAGATTTCAGAACAGAGAGTTTCTATCCAGAGACTAAATGAAGAGTACATAGCTACTTCCGAACTACAGACACTTACAGAGAAATATTTAATTTCTATTTTGAATATTAATTTGATGGTTTGTTATTGTAAGCTTCTTCGTCACTACACAGATTAACAATTTTCCTTTTACATTATTTACATGCACATGGCTTAAAGGGAAAGTCTACCACTAAGCAGAACAGTTAACAAATTGTTCTGCTCATGGATGGTGAATTGCTCTCTGGCATCACTCATCCTTCTTTTCGATTTACAACATAATAATGCTATACTGTAGTTTTCTATTTAATAATTTGTGCCAGCATTCATCAAAGTTTGACTTAAAACAGAACACATGGAAAAATGGGAAGATTCTTTTACAAGCTATATTTAACTGATGGCCAAGAAACAGAGTTTACAGCAGTTTCTTGTTTTTCTTTCTAGAAAGAACCCAAAAAGTCCCTTGATGTCTCTGAGGTAGTAAAATGCAGTGGTTCATATAATAAAAAGCTGAAAGACATCAGTAGCCTGTTTTCCTTAAAAGGTGACACCCAAAATTCAACTGCCTATCCATGATGGACCTGGGACTCTGGCTGGCAGTATCATGAGACACTTACCTGGACTGGCTTTTATGCAGTGACCTGTTAGCCTCAGCCTATTGCCTTACAGAACCATGCCATGTCCCATTAAAACTCTCAAACCTGGCATTTCATTAAGAGGTGAGGGATCAAACTGACCATATATATTGATTCATTCTCTCATTCCAGAAACTTTAAACTGTGCTTGAGACATATTCCTGGAGGAACTGCTCCTACTGTCTTCCGTCTATGGAAAAAATAGGGGTTTATATGGGTTGTTGGTCAAGGATCATTACAGGCAATAACCTCCTAGATAAATTCTCTCTCACTGACACACATCTTGAGCACTTCATTGAATTGAAGCGAATTTACCAAACTTCAGATCTAACAGCTTAGAAGTTTTCAATTAAGATCACATCATTACTAAAGTCACTCTACACTAACTGAATTGAAGAAATAATAAGCTACACCACATTAGAATTACTCCACAGTCTGAAACATGATCTTATAAGCTGCATCTGTCCTCCTTCCACTCTGAAATACAGCACAATCCACACACTGCATTTTTGCTATTTTTTTTAAAAGCTTGTAGCTGATGCTTTAAACTTCCTATTTCTCGCCAAGTGATTTTTCTTCAGGATGGTGTGCAAGGGGTATCCAGAGCCAGCTAACTGTAGCATGCAGGGCACTATATGTAAGATAAAGTACTCTTGTTAAAAGACGTCTGTGTACTATGGTCATGTTTGCAAAAGCACTGAACTACAGGGTCCCCTCTGCTCCCACTGCTTTCAGCTGGCTGTGGCTTAACATGCCTTGGCACAGCTACAGACAGTTCCTAAGCTGTGTTTTGGTGTTGCTAAGTTTGGCAATGGTGTCTTCCCACATATTTTACAAGCAACTGCATGGGGTCTGCTCACCGCTGAACTTGCCTAGAAAGCATGATGACAAAATTTGTTTTCTACCCAATAGACATTTTTTATTTATGATTTGCTGAATTTTGGAACAGTTTTCTCATGTGAAGCGCCTCATGAGGCACTTGCAATTATTGAAGTGGATTTCTGATCACATTAGAGCTTGTTTCAACTGAGACTCATTAAAGCCAAATTGTTCTCAAAATATTAGGACTAAATCCCTTCCCAACATGCCTATGGTACAGAGATCAGTCAGGTGTTCAGTTACACTCTAAGGAAGCTCCTCCTGGCTTCCATCTTCTCCTGGATCATAAGGACATTATTAGATAAGGTGCGGGATTAGATGGACATTTGATCTGATCCAGTTCAACAGTTGCTGCAGGTCTCTGTGGCAAGACATTTTTGTGTTAAACACAGCTTACTAACAGAGAGAAAGAGGGGTAATTAAACTTCTGGATTTAATGAATGTATGGAAGTGCAACTCAGGTAGAAGGCAAGAAATACTTCTGTCTTTATCATAATATTCCTACTTTTTTGGTTACCAGAAAAATATGCAGTTTCATTGTCAGCGGGCTAGTAAAAACTCTTCTCCCACTAAAGTTACAAGAAGTAGGGAGTACACACAATATGGGGACATTTTCTCCCAGTATACCCACTTCTTGACAGTCAAATGTGTATGGAGCAGTGAAAGCCTTAATTAAAGCTTCACTCCACTTCTTGGTTAAAGTTGGAAGGGACCGTAAAGATCATCAGGTTCCAATGTCTCTGCTATGAACAGGGAGACCTCCCACTAGACCAGACTGCACAAAGCCTCATCCAGCCTGGCCTTAAACACCTCCAGAGAGGGGGCTTCCACAACCTCCCTGAGAAACCTACTCCAGCACCTTACTACCCTCACTTGAGCATGAAAACCACTGGACTGAGAGAAGGTGGTGACCCCAGAAACCCCAGCAGAGCAGCAGCTGAGCTGATTCACATGGCCCTGGGCCCCTGAGCCGCTGCTCTTGGGATCTGTCCTCAACTGGAGACAGCCAAACAAACCAACCAACAACTCCAAATACCCACTGCTGGAGAAATTAAGGAAAAACTTCAAGA